GTAGATCACGAGTTCCCACATTATCTTTATTACAGCGGCAATCAGTACGTACAAATGATATATGGATCAGAAAGAGACAGATTGTAAAGTCAACAACCTTAATATCTAAAATAACTCGTCTGTAGTAAGTTCCGGTCCGCAATAAAGTTACATCCGTAATGTCGGGATAACCGCTATTTTGTAGTTTAAATGACTAAATCCTCACAGTTGCTAAGAAAAAATCAATTAATATGTATATTCACTAAAATCCTAAAAGACTAAAACGTTCAGTTATACTTATCAACATCCAAAAATCAGAAACGATGTACTAAAACATTCGGTACGAGCACCTGTGCTTTCCCACCTTCCACCAACCTCCGGACGTTTTCCAAATAACTCTTCACACTCTCAAACATAGCTACAGTTTCTCCTTCAGACAGACCCACAATAAGCAAAAATTTTTTAAACCTTAATTTCTTTTTGGTCCTGTTTTAGTTAATTTGCTCTTCTGCACAACTGAAATTACGGTTTATAACATTAAAAAGCGTGGGCTTGAAGGGCAGCCACTGGGCAGTTTATAGGCTGGGTAGGTTCGGCCAAGCCCACTCTTGCCCCACTCTCAGGAGACTATAAAGTCGGCAAGGCGACTCTGACTAGTCGCTGACTGACTAGCCGACTCTGACTAGCCGACTCATGACTAGGCGACTCTGACTAGTCGCTGATTGCATGCGGTCGAATGGCCGAGCAGACATGGATCGAATAACATTACCACAACTATAGCGAGTCTGGCGCAGAGTCTCGATTATACCTTAATTAATGTTAATGTCGCTATTTCGACAAAGTAACACTAATTTCTGTGAGTGTGTGCAACGATTTCTAGTCACTCGTGTCCCATTTAACTCAACAATACAAAAAATATGTATTTGTCAATGAAGAACTATTGTACCGATCGTTGCAAAACTACCGAGTCTGCTATCTTTGTGCTGTTGAAAATGTAATCACCTTGCTAGTACCTATACCGTAATGCATTGTTGTACTTATCATTACTGCACGATATCGTCTGTTATTGCCCTTCCATGATATTAACGGTCTAATAACTACTATTATTACCTAATTATCTTTATATCAATTATACAGTACTCTCACTTTCGTAATGCGCCGTGGAACCTGCTACAACATCTCCGTATCGCCACCATATTTGCAACTGTTGATTGTTACTCAATCGTACTCGTCATTTCTCAACGACTTGTATAACTGCAGCCCACAGACCATACAGGGCACATACAGACCATATAGCGCACATACAGACCACGCAGCGCACATACAGATCATACAGCGCACATACAGACCATGCAGCGCACATATACAGACCATGCAGGGCACATACAGCCCATGCAGCGCACATACAGACCATGCAGCGCACATACAGACCATACAGGGCACATACAGACCATGCAGTCAGTACAGACCATGCAGAGCACATACGGACCATGCAGCGCACATACAGACCATGCAGCGCATGTACAGACCATGCAGTGTCAGTACAGACTATGTCAGCAAGGACGTGTAGCGAAAGCTCACCTAACATGAGGAATGTACGGTCCATTTGGCAGTGAGGTTTGCTGTCTGCACAAGGTTCCAAGTCAGGAGGCGAGTCCACACTCGCACTTGTGGACTTGGAGGAGGCGTGTGGACTTGGAGGAGGCGTGTGGACTTGGATGAGACGTGTGGACTTGGAGGAGACGTGTGGACTTGGAGGAGACGTGTGGACTTGGAGGAGACGTGTGGACTTGGAGGAGACGTGAGGAGACGTGTAGACTTGGAGGAGACGTGTGGACTTGGAGACGTGTGGACTTGGAGGAGACGTGTGGACTTGGAGACGTGTGGACTTGGAGGAGACGTGTGGACTTGGAGGAGGCGTGTGGACTTGGAGGAGACGTGTGGACTTGGAGGAGACGTGTGGACTTGGAGGAGACGTGTGGACTTGGAGGAGACGTGTGGAATTGGAGACGTGTGGACTTGGAGGAGGCGTGTGGACTTGGCCGGTGCGTCAAGTCCACACGAGGTTGTAGCGGTGAACCCCCACGTGGTAGTGACCGATTTTCACGGCGAACGAAACTTAATGCCGCGATGTTCTAGCTTTCATGACCGCTGTTTCCGACCTACGAATTTTAGAATCCATGTATACCTTTTAACAGAAACTTTGTTTAAATGCAGCCTTCAGCTCCTATCCCCTTGAAATCGTAGATAGATAGTCCTGTCACTTAATGTTCATTTGTTTTCTCTTTTGTCAATTTAGGTTTTTATCTTCGATGTGAATTTTAGTTTTCTAATTGATTCTGCTTGTCTCATAGGTTTTGAATTGTCGATGCAGCTGGACTCCGAAATGTTTTCACATACAAAGAAATTATGAATTTGCTGGCTATTTCTTCGCTTATAAATTCTTAGTGAATTTGCGATCCAAGCAACCAAGTGACCTTACTTAGACTTAAACATTAGCCTCGAGTTGATCTTTGCGAAGTTAGAACCTATACACAACTTAGCTCTAAATACTGTTGAATAATTAATCGCATTCCAATGCACTTCTATCGTCGTCCATCAGTAAATTGGTTCAGTGGCGAAAACTTGGTTGTGATCGATTGACATTCTCTCAATCATGGAAATAATTATGCATGCACTTGGGACGATTCACTGGTAAGGACAGTCTTCTTCTTCTTAAATCAAAGTTTATGGGAGCCTCTGAATACTAGTTCAATGTGGCCCCATGACAGGACGGTTTAAGGAAATTACGGTGTTAGTCTGGGGGCACTAACCACTCACCTGGGGGCACCAACCACTCACCTGGGGGCACCAACCATAAACCCGGGGGCACCAACCACACATGGGGGCTGGGGCTATCTTAAGGTTTTTGTAAAGTAACGGTTCCAAGCACTCAAACAGTACACCTGGCGAAGCCAGTCAGGACTAGGCGACGCAAAAAAAAAAAAAATTTTCTCAAATCGTATCAGCTGAACTGCATTTTGCAGTGGGCATTGCTAGGTATTTGTCTATAGCAAGTAGCTCCTTCGCCGGCTCAACGCCTCGGAGCGAGACAGCAATGTACAGCATCCACGGGCACTTAAAATTTGAGAACGATGACGTGGCAGCCGGCTTTCGTCATGGGAGCTCAGCACAGCACACCTTCCGCTTCAGCGGTCAGAACAGCGTAAGGACAGTCACGATAGAGACTATTGAAAAATTCCGGCTTCTATTGTTGTTAGGAAATTAAATTCAGTCGAACCAATGGAAAGGAGAGAATACGTGACGGACATTATCAAGACATAACAAACCTTTAGTCATTAACCCTTTACCGCCTGACATGAGTAACCGGAGCAATATTGTCACAAGCCTACTTGCCAAAAAGGATAGGTTCTAGTGAGCGCAAAATGACTTGCACTCAGTGCAAAATGACTTGCACTGAGTTGTCGTGGTTGCCGCCACAACTTTTGAATGTTCTCTGTTGCTACAAACGTCCTCAGGTTGCTACACTCAATAGTTTACGTATAATTTAAGTTGAAAGTTACTTTAAAATGTTCTCTGTTGCGTACAAACGTCCTCAGGTTGCTACACTCAATAGTTTACGTATAATTTAACTTGAAACTTATGTTCCCGGAGAGTGACATATGGCGGTAGAGGGTTAAGTTCTTTAGATACATCAATGAACCTCAGCCAATTCATGTAGGCACCCAAAGCTTTTGTTTCATAGACGAATGAAAACGTGAATCAAAATACAGTGATACCTTGACTTACGAACCCCTTTTCTTGCAAACTTTTACAGATATGAACAGGAGGTTCGAGATTGATTTGCTACGAACATGTCGACCCGTCGGCCTCATTTGACACAGACGACCCACCAACTTATTGAGTCTATCTTGACCTGCGCGGCACAGTACTGCGGTGGTTCGAGTCGGATATTGTGACAAAATTAAAAATTTAACTCTTGCTTCCAGACAGAATTATACTTCCTCAGCAATCCTATGCGTTCGAAACGGGCACTCTTCCTCTACGCAATCGTCAGTCACCTGCGACTGTTGCACGTAGTCGTTGTATCCTAATTTCGCAGAACTTTTTCTCGTCCACTTTCTAACGTAGTCTTAGAACTCTCAATTTGTAACTTCCCCTAGACGTTCTGTTGCATCAGGTGTCACGATAATTTCTTCGAATTATAGTAATGACAATTATAGCCCTCGAAGCTCGTGATGGCCAAGTGATGGACATCACCAATTTTAGAGCAGCAAGTTGTGATTTCAAAATTTATGGTCAAAATTGCCAAGTTGTTGACGATTTAGTAAATGGTGACGAGCCAACATTGCCCAATCAAAGCTGGCATTACTATATACTTAAAAAATATAACTCAGTACTCACTGCATTGAGTGACAGCGCGCATTTTCTCGTCGACGAAACGTTAAGTCACGGACAGACGGACGGACAGACAGACGGACATGAAGAGCTCAATAGCGCATTTTTTCCACAAATGAGAAAATGCGCTAAAAATACCACGCGGCACGTTTGCTGATATTTCCGCGTGCCTGCGATAAATTGAATTCACGAGTTGAATTTATTAATTCAATTACGGTAAATTATTGAATTTATTAATTATTTATTTTATAAAGCTGTGATGGCGGACGGTGATTACTTTACCAATAGTTGCGGCATTAAACCAGCGGTAAATTCAACTCGTGATGCAACGCTCGGATCCTAACTTCAACTTGAGATCAGCAGAAGTGGTAACAAACATGGTTTGCTTCTGTAGCTCTTAATTAACACTGTGCACTAGCGTGGCCTGGGACTGCAACGTTTACAACTCCAACAAAGAAACTAACTAACATTTAAAAATATTGGACTCGCTGCCTTGAACTAGTTTTAGTCGACAGCATCCATTGAGTTATTAATTAATTAATTTATAATTAATTTGAAGCAGCATTCTTCGATCGATCACCAGCAATAACGTCTTTTGCTGAGCAGGTTAATACTAACAAAAATTCATATAAGCGAGTAACTTTTATTAACCATAAAACGAATTCCTCATTTGTTTTCAAAAACATACGAAGTTCTGTCCTATTGATAGTTAACTAAGATTCCTTTTTTAATGCTAGGCATACTTAATGACATTTCCATAAGGATTGACTAGCTCCAGTAAACTAATTATAATCGACTTATCTAACAACTTAAGTAGTTTAGTCCTTTCTTACTTTAGTACTAGTACTTTAGTACTTATCTTTTTAGAACTTAGTACTAAACTAACTTCCTTTAGTTAGTTTAGTTCTTATACTCATAAAAACTACTTACATAATGTAAGTAAGTCCTTATATAATTTTTTTGAAAAACAGCTAAGTGAATGAGAAGCACTCAAAGATTGACAGCAATATGACATAGCTGCTGCGTGGCGCCGGATTATTTAGACAAAATGTGTACATAAGCAAACAATGATTATTACCCATAAAACTAATTACTCATATACTCAACGGAAACCAAAAAGTCCTTTCTTATTGATACGTATTTGCCAGGATACTAGAGGCATATGGGGATTGGCAGGTAGGATACTACAGGAGTGGGTCGATCGGCAACAAGGATACTAGAGGAGTTGGGGATTGACTGCGTGGATCAGAAAACAAAACCAATCGTTTTCCATTAAAAAAATACAGAGTCCTGTACAAAAATTAGTTTCATAATTTCCTTTCGTAATACAAAGGTTAATTAACAACGTTGCGTTAGAAATATTGTGCGCCCCTGTAGGAATGCTAACGTATCACTCGTTCCTTTGTTTCAGTTCTCTCCGTAATTCTCAGTTTGGTTTCTTACATTATGATTCTTGTCTAACAGGTCCAACTTCTGAGCTTTGTTTCGGACATTATTCTCGCCGAGTATTCGCAGGCCGCCATGTGGCCGACACTAACTTACTTTCATTCCTAAGCAGAGCCAAGTCTTCCTCTCTCACACAGTCCGCTGTCCGAAAAGGCAAATTGGGCACCCGCGTTAGTAAAATCAGCTTTTCTTGGGATTGGGCGACAGCAGAAAAGCGAGCAATTAGAGCAAGATTTTTTATTTGGTGACCTCTTCTGAAGTGTTTCGTCATATAGGTCGACACAAAGGGAACCTCGCAAAGAGGGCACAAAGCAACGTATCTTTTAAGGTTTGATTCACGGGGCCTTAGGCCTTTAGCACTCGATTGATTTTCAAAAAACGGTTCATCAACAAGCTCACATAAGTCCTTCCTGCTGTCTCTGTTTGATGAGGCTTTTTTGACTGAAAGTTCTCTTGTGAGATCAACGTACGTTCTCAGTTGCCCCGTGAGGGCCGTGATAGCCGTCTGGTCAATGGCCATCACTTCGGTCAGTATATTTCTAAGCTCTGCATGTATCTCCTCTGGGGTTAAGATAGGCGTGTGCTCAGCAGACTTATCAAGCTCCTCGAAGTCCTTGCCAAGCTTGGTTAGCTGCTCGGCACAGACCACCGTCAACTCGTGATGCTCTTGGTAGTGCTGCTGAATTTGGCGAGTCAGGATGCTGCAGGATGGAACGAGGCATACCGTTGCCTGCTGTCGATTTTGAGCAAGTTTTTCAGGGCTGCAATGACGAGCAGGCCTGAAATAGTGCAAGGAAATAATATCAGCAATGAGGTAATATTTTGAATAATTATCTTTCAACAGAAGTGTTGGTGTAATATGGTATTAAGTTCTGAACGGCAACCAAAGCTGAGCCGTCTAAGTTCGGCATGTGCTGCTATTGAACGTTCCCTCACCATTTTTTTCAAAACTTTCTCGTTCATTTTATTAACGTCAGATGTCGTATTTTCAAAACAAGTTCCAAAACTATTTTTGGAGGGCTAATGAAAAGTAAGTGTGAAATAAATTATGTAGTAAATTAGAAATGAATGACTTATACACCAATGTAAAGAGAAGGACTCGAAATAAATAACAAATTTATAAAGGTTCTTATGTCCACGTTGTGCTGCACGGCAAACATTTAAACGGTAGCCAAACTCGTCCTACACACGATAAAGCTTTTCTGCTGTTACCGAGAGTACCGCAGCAGTGATACGGTTCTTCAGATTTACCCGCCTTTACCAGAGTTGCTGGTAAAGGCGGGACAAAAACCGTTTCCTAGACGTAACCCTATAAGAAATAGTCCTATGGGGTGAGATCAGGTGATCTCGGTGGCTTCAGATCAACCAGAGTTGCTGGTAGAGGTGGCACGTAAACAGCTTCCTTGCCGTTACCCCATGAGAAATGGTCACATGGAGTGAGAACAGGTAATCTCGGTGGCCATAAGTGTAGAGCCCAATCGTCCTCTCATATGAGTCTTACCCAACGCTCAGGAAGTGACTGCTTCAAAAAGTTTGAACCAACTGATATACCAGGCTGGGTTTTTTAGAAATAGATGTCTACATTGTCCATTTGTATCTTACATTTTATCTCAATACTTCATTACTACCCACAAAATCTTTGCAGTTGCTTTTATTACAAATTACAAATTTATGAAGCATAAAAATTTTACAATAAAAATGTATGAAGATTTGATTAAGATAATTATTTGCCAATTATTTAACTTCGTTTCAATGCATGTTAATGCCCTAGGAAACAGTTAAGATAAGTCACTTAGAAGAGTTTAAGTGCTGATAGTCGTCTGAATTGCAAGTGCAGACAACTCAAATGATTCTGACGAATTCATACTGGGACAAAATCAAGCAGGGATATTGAAAGCAATCCATTGATTTGCAAGCCTCTAAACTTAACCAATGAAGCGAGTATTGATCATCAAGAATATTTCAAGTTTTGATTCGTATATATTTTACTGTTGCCATGCTTTTTCTATGGGATATGCTCTAATTTTAAAATGTTGGTGTGCTGTCGGGAGATAGTTGTATTTCCTAGCACGCTTCCTGAACTAAACCTATTCAGCAAAATAGTGAATTCTGTAATTTTCTGAGTTCTCAATTGAATGGAAAATTTTGCACTGTTGCATTAAATTTTGTAATTTGGTTTATTTTACCCTCATTTTTCAGATATTTCAGTACTTATATTATCAGTCTGCTTATATCGCAAGTTCACAAGGAATTTAAAAGCAAAGAAAACACCAAGAATATTCACCATATCGATATTGAAAACGTTTAGGAGTCCAGCTCCATCATCAGTTCGAAAAACTAAAAATGAATCAAATCAAATTATTGATCAAATAAAATCAGGTTATTGATCAAATCAAATTTGATTTTATTCATTTTTAGTTTCTCGAACTGATGATGGAGCTGGACTCCGAAACGTTTTCAATATCGATGTGGTGAATTTGCTTGGTGTTTTCCTTTTGAATTCCTTCCGATAAATCAGCTGCAGAGATCCCAGTGCAAGTGGTGATTGCTAGGTATATCTTTACAAGCAAGTATTGCAACACTAAACTTTCAAGCAACATCATTGCCCTTGAATGGAATCCTGAGAATTTATTAAAACTTGAAACTAGTTGAAATTTTTGAGCACTAGCCTTCCTGGGCATCTGGTGCTTTGATCAGAGCATGAGAACTATTTATTAGAGCTTGTCAAAAAAACTCGTCTTGGACAGGCAGGTCACTAGGTCTTTAGCTGGGAATTCTATGCAGTTTTGTTTCAGTGGTTGTCTCGGTCGCAGTAGTAGAAGGTATTCTAGTACAAGAGGAGTAGTAATCCATATTTGGTTAAAGGAGGGGCAGTGCGGCAACTGGAAGGGGTTCAACGAACCTTCACTTCCAGGATCAGAGGGATGAAGGAGTTGAACTACTGGGAGAGGTTCGAGCGTATGGGTCTGTACCCAGCAGGCATCTGATGTTGAAACAACGTAGATTATTGGTTGATTTCAGGTTGAAATGTTGAGCAACCAAAATTAAACGTCATATCAACGTCGAAATCTGACCAACACTAGAAGGGGCGTAAAACAACCTTATTTCAACGTTGAAATAACGTCGATATTGGAACGTTGAATTGTTAGTTATTTTTAAACGTTGAATCAATGTTGATTTCAGGTTGAATTGCTGAACAACCCAAACTAAATGTCCAATCAACGTCAAAATCTGACCAAAATCAGAACGGATGTAAAACAACCTTATTTCAACGTTGAAATAACGTCGATATTGGCACGTTAAATGTTTATTTATTTTTAAACGTTGAATCAATGTTGATTTCAGGATGAAATGCCGAACAACCAAAATTAAACGTCCGATCATCGTCGAAATCTTACGAAAAATAGAACGGACGTAAAACAACCTTATTTCAACGTTGAAAAATTGTCGATATCGGTAAGTTGAATGTTTAGCTATTTACCAGCATGGAACTAATGGGAAAACATATATATTAGTGTACGATTAATGACCAGAGAATGCATTTTAATTTTCAAGGAGTCGAACAATTCTTTAGCTTTTTCTATTGCTCATGCACACGAGCTACCGTGGTCAAGGTTGCTAAGGCGTCGCGCGGTCGCCAGCGATCCCGGGTTCAAACCCTGCTACGGACGAAAAACAGGTTGGTTCTTCAACGTTGATTAAATCAGAGAATCTGACGTTGCAGCAATGTCGTAATAGCAACACTGATTCAATGTTGCCTTAAAATGTCAGTACAACGTTTTATGAGAGACGTTGCTTCAATTTTCATTCTAAACCTATTTTCACCGCGATATCAACGTCGTAATAGGTGGTTGTTTCAACGTTGATTCAACCAGAGAACTCAACGTTGCAGCAACGTCGTAGTAGCAACATTGATTCAACGTTGCATTGTAACGTCAGTACGGCGTTTCATGAAAGATGTTGCTTCAATTTTCATTCTAAACCTCATTTCACCCCGATCTTAATGTCGTAATAGGTAGTTGATACAACGTTGATTCAACCACCGAATGCCTGCTGGGTACCCACTGCAGAGGAGACGGGAGAGGTGTTATTCTGTACGCATGGAAAATGATAACCGGAATGACACCATCTTCGAAAGCGAGACCTTCACGATTGAGACATACCACAGCGAGAGAAGGGGGAGACTGTGCAAATTCCCCCCACTATGTAACAGATCAGCAATCAGATTTCAATTCCTGTGGGAAGGATCCCTTTCCGTGACAGGGCTGCGGCAGTTTAACGTCCTACCAAAAGATCTAAGAGAGGGTGAGTTCACACTGGAGACCTTCAAGAGACGACTGGACTTCTTCCTGGGCACAATCCCTGATCGACCGCCCCTGCACCACTGCCAGCGGCGAGAAGCGAGCAACAGCATCGTGCATCAGATGGCCCATATGAGGGCGGATGCACGATAGTCAGTGGCAGCGATCCATCGTGGCCTGGGACTGCTACGTCCGAAACAAATACTAAGGATAATAAGGAGGGGCAGCGGGCTGGCAGTTGCCCAGTGAAAATGTGCGAGTGGGCGTGTCGGGTTGCTCCGAGGCGCAGTCGGGTTAGTGGTATACTTGTATGAGCGTTTGATGGACAGATATGAAGATATGCCAGGATCGAGTGCCTTTGTAGGTAAAAAGCCTGGCAAAAGAATTTTCTCACTGATGCTGACATTGTGCTTGATAATGCGTTGCAATGAGCTGTTTCAGTTCTTGGCCTGAAAGGGTTGTCGATACAGAGTGCAGAAGTAAAGGGCTGCTTGGGGTATCTTGTCTGCAAATTTGTTTCCTTTTAAGCGCTTGTGAGATAGACCCAGTGCTAGAATAAATTTGTTTGATGTAGCAGCTAGAAGGTGGGCAATTTTGAGGACTAGGTATAGTGAGATTTGGTGTGAGTGTGCTGTAGTGCTCTTAAGAAGCTAAGGGGTCTCAGAATAGTATATATAGGCCTTCCTTGTTTTCCAGTAATTTGAGTGGCCTGAAAATGGTAGAGAGCTCAGCAGAGAAGATAGAGTAGTTTTTGCAGAGACGTGCCCTGAGTTTAACGGAATTAGACCATGCTCCAGTAGCTGTCTGCTCGGTGTTCTTGGATCCATCACAGAAGATGGGTGTGCGTGTAAAGTACAGGAGCAGAAAGCGTGTATAGTAGGCTTGCCATGCATTTGGAAAAAGTTCTTACTTCTTGGACGTGTGAAGTTAAATGTATAAGTTAAATGTCGAGAAGTTTCAGGGTGCCAGTCAGCACCCCATTGTGAGCAGCAACACTGTGAGGAGGCGGAGTGCACGTTGTCATCTTTCTTTTAGTTCATAGATGTGTTGGCGGTAGGCGAGTCGGCGGTCCGTGGTTATTCTAAGAAAACGGTGAGTGTCCCCTAATTCAGATGCTTGATTTGCAAGGACTAAAGTTGGTATTTGTGGTGATCTCTTGTTGAAAAAGAGCGTTTCTTTGAAATTTGGTGCTGACAGCTTCAAGTTCCATGTATTTGTGAATGCTGTTACGTTGTTGAGGGCATTGGTACATAGTGCTACATAGGTGTTGGTGCTCCAAAGTGCTAAGTCACCAGCTAAGAGTGAGTATTTGATGCCAAATGATGATAAAATTGCAAATAAATTGAGAGGTCGCAATATGGTCTTCATTTGAGGCTATTAGTCTGTTTACACATTAGAATGCATTGAATTTCAATATAATCATTGTCATGTTATTTAATTAATAAACAGTAAGAAATGTAAAATTTGGGCAAATGTTACCCCATCTGACGGGATTCTATTTTTCTTTTCATTTTTTCTCTGAAATTCAACACGATCACCCGCATTAATACAAGTTATTAGAGTAAAGTTCAGTAAAGTTTACTTTTTGGATGTAAGCGTTAATTTTTGAGGCTTTACCATCATCTCTAACCTTGCCTCACAGGGAACGCAATCAGCTCCCTCCTCCATGCGAGAACGCTTTGGCGAAGGTCCATTGGAGTTTGGTCTGCAACAGAAGAACATATTTTCGCACAGTTTTGACAAACGTGTTTTTCATAACTATTGCGGTAAATAATCATTTAACTCTCACAGAAAGAAAGATGATCATCTATTTCATAAACAATTGATACGCAAATCATTCCCGAAAATTTATGCTATTCACCTCTTACGTGCAAGGTTCAAGAGCTTTCGAGTCTTCATTTGTAGAACCAGTTTCTTGAGCCCGTAGGTTAAATGCGATCCTAAATTTTGCTTGAAACACTTTAAATCATCTTCAAATTTCCGACCAAGAACTGCGGTAGTTTTTGTCGGGCTACTAAATCCAGGAAACTGGTGGAAACTGCGGACTTTGGAAGACCTGCATGTCTCTTCGCTGCACCGTTTAGAAGTTTTAGGAGCTGGCGAGAGCTCTTGCACCTCGACGCGGTTACATTGCATACTGGTCTTGACGGCAGCTGAGGAAGCTATTTGAAGTTCATCTGCACGCGAGGGCGCCCGTCCAAGATGCGGCCAGGCAGCCTGATTGTTCGCCGATGATATGATAGTTACATTACTTAAAGGAACTTCTTGCCACATTGCCTCGTTCAGCCCAACAGGAGGTTTTTTGCTGGATCCGGAGGAAAAAGTTGTCTCCATATCAGCCAGCACGTTCAGAGGGACAGAGTCTGCCTTGAATGTACTATGAGCAGATGTCTTCCCTACTCCCAGCACGTTCAGAGGGACATGATCTGACTAAGATGCAGAAGAAATAAAATGACCTTAAAACAAACTGAATAGAATTATTCTTTTAATCATCAAAATGTATAACTCTCGTAGTTTGTTGTTAAGAACTTCAGCAAGTTATTTATAAAAAAATTTGCCATCACTCGCACCATTTTGTTATTGACCTCTCCGTTACTCTAACAAACTAACAGCAAGAAGATCAATAAAACAACCATTTTTTATCATAATGTCATGTGAGTGATGTTCATATATTAAAAAAAACACACTCAGGACAAACTTTTAAAAATTTTCCACTCTACAATGAATCAATTCCTACATAAAACTCACTTATTAAAAAAAACTTAGTCCTTACCAAATTTTCAGGTTCAACGGCGATGATTGACGAGACTAGCTGAGCACCAGGGTTCGAATCTTGGGCTTCTGTCTTGCATGGTCTCCAACATTCGAGAGGTGGAGGTGGTGGTGGAAATGGAGATGAAGGGGGTGGAGGTGGTTGGGGAGATGGATGACAAGCAGAGCCAGAGTTGCAGGGCTCAGGTGCCTATAAAACAGTTGCGATCATTAATACCATTAACAACAACCGAAGATTATTATTCTGAAGGTAAGACCTTAAGATCGCCCCCAGGTAAAAAGTGCCCGGAGTTCATTTAGGGACACCAACCCAAGGCTATGCTGCAAGCACCACCTTTGACGGAGCCTACCAAGCGACACTAGGAAATGAGCCGCGTTGCTCAAGGCTCGAACCTACGGCTAGCTACTCACATCTCGGTGCCGCTACCACCGCGCTACAGTGACGCTAACCACTGCGCTACTGTGACGCTAACCACCGCGCTACAGTGACGCTACCACCGCGCTACAGTGACGCTAACCACTGCAATACAGCGACGATTTTATTGCTCGTGTCTTCCAAACGGTTCAAACTTCACTCATGTAACCAGCAACTAAAGATTATTATTCTAGAGCTGTTGTAAATATTGTATCACAAACCATGAATATCTGAAGGACTAGGATGCCTTTTGGTGCATTCAAACTTGAATTATTTGATGCATAAAATTCTTTCCATCTAAATAGACAATGAATTAACTGGAAACAAACAAACGCGATAACCTAAGCTCCACTCAAAGATAGGAGCCATCATGTTATGGCACCAAATTATCATAGCATTGATACTTATTATCATTGCACTGCACCACATTATTATTGCATGTACCTTATCATCATAAGAGAATGATTCATCCTTAACATCTATATCATCCATCTCATCGTCGATGACGTCCTCAGTATTGTTGTTCGCAGCGTTGCACTCTGGGGGTGGGATCAGAAGACGTCAATGAAAAATACAATGCAACCTTTGTGAAAATACAAAGTATGCCTACATCTTGCAACGTGCATCGTACCATGCATTTATCCAGTACAAATGCAATGTACAATGTATACATACATCATACAATGTACTCATGCAGTATAAATGTAATGTACTATTCTACAGTGAGCAAATCCTACAGTACAAATGCAACATACAATGATGTATAAATACATCATATAAAGTACTCATATAGTATTCAAATAATGCACACATTCAGAAAGCATACAATGTGTTCATTCATCGAGTAGATTAAATATTCCAAAATTAACTAACTCAGGCTGAAAATAATTGAGATCATAGGCAAAAAAACTTGGACAGGATATGCACGCAGAGGTAAAATATTCAGTGTTGTCTGGGCCATATCTCTATAATTTTTTCAAGTGCATGACTAGGATCCTAAAAATTAGTACCCTGGCAATCGAAGGATACTCTATCTTTCTTTTAAAGTAATTTTTTTTAAAACTTATGCTCAACTTTTAAATAAAAATGTTCTATTTTTGTTGAATAATGATTAGGCAAACAAAAAAATTAATTTTCAAATAAAAATGTACTACTTCAGATGAATAATGACTAGGTTCCCCCCAAAAAATTATTTTTCAAATAAATATTTTCTACTTCTATTGAATAATGACTAGCTACACAAAAAAAAAATTTTCAAATAATAATGTTCTACTTCTGTTGAATAATGACTAGGTTCACAAAAAAAGTATTCCTGGAAAGTTTAGGACTGTATTTTAACTTATGGTGTTCTAGAGTCTCCCTAAACATCACTTTATTGTGCGTGATCATAATTTGGCAAAATGAAAATTTCTAGAGGGTTAGACCCTAAACTAACTTTAATAATTTTATTTGGCTACCCTAATGCTACCCTAATGATAACAAGTCAGACATGCTCAAGTATTATAATACATATGATATATAAATTAACAATAAAAAGTAGTTATTATACAAATACTCTTGTAGTAATAATAAAGACTTATTGTACTTATAAAATTGCACCAATATAATCATACAGATATTAATTAGACTCATTATACTTGCCATGTGTTACTGGATCCTGAAGGGGCAATGTTGGTGATGCTGATGACATTATTTTTGAATGTGGTGAGTGAGATGGTGAGCAATGTGGTACAGAAGACGTTGATGAAAAGAAAGATACTGGTGGTTCTTGTCCATAAGCACGAGTAAATGAAGCAGGTTGAAGTGAAGTTGAGGGGTGTGATAACAGCAGAACTGGAGTTGAGGAGATTGATGAGGGCATGACGGAAGTTGAAAGGAGTGATGAGGGCTGAACTGAAGTTGAAGGATGTGATGAGGGCAGAACTGAAGTTGAAGAGTGTGATGAGGGTAAAACTGAAGTTGAAGGGTGTGATGAGGGCAGAACTGAAGTTGAAGGGCATGACGAGGGCTGAACTGAAGTTGAAGAACGTGACGAAGGCAAAACTGAAGTTGGAGGATGTGATGGTTGGCTGTCTCGTCCAGGTCTGTTGCAATTCTGAGGAGAAATATTTTTCATTTTTGAATAAAGAGTATGGATTTGTAAAGAAACATGATCATTGATCAATCTTTGTTTGAAAATCTTAGTATAGCATATGCACAAAAGGTATATCATTGAAGAGGAGATGCTGCTCCACCAAACTTCAAGCATTAAACTTAGACATTTTATTTTCCTATTTCATGTTCAATTATGTAGTATCACGGAGTATTTTCTTACTTCTGAGACATGCCACCTAATATCACTAGGCTTTCTCCTTCAGAAGGAGTGTTTTGATTCTACTTTGTTACTAATATGCATGGATTTTCTTCCATCTATATTTACATCAGACATAAATAATATATCCCTGTTATTGGCCTAAACAATAATGGTGTCTAGCATTGTCAAGTATAAAGGTTTCATTAGGCTTATCAAGCATCAGCATGGTCATGTTTAGACTTATGCTTAGCTGCACTTGATTGTACATCAATCCATGTACTGTCAAAGGGGGGGTAATAAGGGACGGTTTTGGGCGTTTTTTGTTAAAAACTTCTTACCATGAAACATTTCATAAACAAGTTTGGGCTCATTTTAAAGCTCTTTGCGGGGGCTACCGTATAGCGTTTCTGAAAAAAATTTCATATGCTATTTGTAAGGTGCTAGATGCAAATAAAAGCGTCCCTAATTACTCCTGGGAATGAGGAAATCCGGGACACTTGAAATAAAACCTAATTTTAAAACGTTTGAAGCATGCAGAGTGTACTCATCCATTACTAACAGTACTCTGAAGTCCTCCTCTTCCTATTTAAATGATGTAGATGTAGAATAAATGATATTTTCTTTTTTATTCATTTTTCCTTTATTGATATATTACCTTATCCATACATTACTATATTATTGATGTGATATTACCGTATCCATGAACATGCCACTGATCATTTACAACGACCTTGTCCACTGAAAGCTTTCATATCAGCAGCCTTACAACATTTCTTCTGTCTTTGTTAGGTTACAGGACGGCTTGTAATTTCACATCATTTTAATTGGGTCAAGTAAATACACTATAACAAAAAAGATCCTAAAAACATTCCTGAAACAGAAAGGAAGATTTTAATGAAAAACATCATATTCTTGGAGAAATAAATCATAGTTTTGGTCAATTACTTTTCATTCTATGTTACCCAGTGCGCAATTCTATCTAATCAAAAGGTTTTGTTGTTAATTGACTTTTTTTGTTAACTGGAGCCATTGCTAATTGAGGTACTACTGGAAATGGGTTTTTAGAGTTGTCCCTTATTAAGTTATTACCCTGGAGGGGGGGTGTTGCTTATTACCCCGTCCTGCGGAAATGGCCACCATTTTTTTGAAATGAGATAAGCAAATTCCATCAATCACGTTTTTAAGCCAACACCAGTGTGCAACTTTTATGTAAGTACAATTTTTCAATACTAAGAATATTTTTTTTATCTACAGACCTTAGCAGAGGTTATTTTTTTAAATCTCACTTCGCACACAGGGATTTGCTAGAGGTAATAAATGTATGGTTTCTTAACTTGCTTTATGCTATATAAATAGTAAAAATGTTGAACTGTACATCACTATTTTTAGTTTTGCAATACTTCAATTAGTTCAGCTGCTACAACATTTCTACGAAATGTCAGAGGACTGTCCTGATTTACCCCACCCTTCCCATATTACACCATTTGATGTTATCCATTGCGTGAATCCCATTTCACCTTGAAGTAATTGTCAACCTATACCTGCCTGCCAAACTACTCTGGTTCTTCTGTTACTCCTGTTTGCTGGCCTGTTTGGTTCATGACTTTCCCGTCCTGAGTACCATAACCTTCCTAACCTAAACTCATTGAAGACTGCAGTGCTTCTGCTCAAATATTGTATCAAATTCGACATTGCATTAATCGATTACATAACTGAACCATCTGCTCATCAGGCCAACTCATTAGCATTTATAGACCCTTTCCATGGGCTGTTAGTATTTAGCCTAGATAATTGGACAGTATTAGGTGCATTTGCTTCATGTCAACTTAGGGGATCAGAGCTGTGTCCTGACTTTCTGTGACAGAAGTAACCTGTAACAGAAGTAAGTCCTGTAACCAGGCTAGAATTCTACGTAGTATAATGCGTGAAAATTCTGTACTTTTTGGGTGAATACACATCCCTTTATAGCTGTGATGTCATTCACTCCAGACTATGATTAATTGATGGGATTGTGATGTCATCCTCTCCAGACTGTGTTTGGTTGTAGGAATATGATGTTATCCTCTCAAGACGGTGATTGCTTATGGGAATGTGTTGTTATTCTTTCCAGACTGCGATTGGTTGGTGGGATTGTGATGTCATTCTTTCCAGACTGTGCTTGGTTGGTGGGATTGTGGTGTCATCCTCTCCAGCCTGTGATTGGTTGTGGGAATGTGATGTTATCCCCTCGAGACTGTAATTGGTTCTGGGAATGCAATGTCATCTGCTCAAGACTGTGATTGGTTGTGCCTAAATACGGTATGTGTACTGGTTAATTTAATACCCCTCTAAAATTCCACACTGACTGTAACCTACTATTTTGATTAGATAATACAAATGTTGCTAGGATTATTAAAGTTAGGTTAGTATTAGATGGTATTCGTTGCTAGTGCCATTTTTAGTGATAGTTGGTTAGCAACAAATAACATCTAGCGTTAGATGTATTTGTTGCTAGTGCCATTTTAGTGCATTGCCATTTTTGCAGACCTAATTCGAGCTAATGATATAAAAATGATGCAGGTACCTGTTTTTTTCTTGTTAAGAGTCGTGTAAAGTGTTCTGTTAGAACAAAATTTTGTTAGTTGTGTTAGAACAAATAATCTGTTCATAACTTGTTAGAAAAGTACCTTTGGTATTTAATGAAAAATCTCTACTGAATGAAAGGTAATATGACCGAGTAGGATAGAAGCCTTACCATCTATAATTGGTGTGAACAATTGGGATAAATAATTTAATTTATAAACTCAATTCATGAGTCCTATCCTATTCATGGTGTCTTATTTTATTAGTTTCCTATAGGAGTTACTAAATATCCTGCCATTTCCTGGTGTCCATGAGACTTCTGGTCCTCCGAGTATTGAGGCACCTGGTATATCTTGTGGTCTGTAACCATTTTAGGCAATCCTACAGCCAGATGGGCAAGTAATCTGGGGTGAGTGACTGTGCATGACCGCAGAGTCTGTAAGAATTGATGTAGCTACATGGTCTTCGGGCTGTGCATTAGGAGTGACTCATGGGCCTGGCAAAGTATCCCACTGCTGTGCCACTCTACTTCCTGGAAATAAAGTAAATAATTACTGCTTTTCTTTTTACAGAATTCTCCCCTCATCTCTGTGTCCACCAAAACCATGTTTTGCTACTTATATGACTATGTTTATCAATCCTTGTATGTCATAGGCTAGGATGTGCTTTTCAAAACAGCAGGTTGGGCAACAGCTGCACCAAGTGGTTCGATTAATTTCTCAATTCGAATACCAAATATTCATGACCAGAACTCTTCCCCTAGGGTGGCCTGGATTATCCAGTAAAGGATATGTTTTGTTGCCTGGAGGTAATCCTGCAGCTACTGTCATTGTTAAGATTTATAGTTCTAAATATACTGGTGTGTTGTATTAACCCGTTTTTCATTGTCCCAAATTCAAGCTAATCATCTCGAGTGGGGTAGCATATTAGGGTCAGTGGACTAACATCCACATAGCTTCTGTGGAACCCCAGTTGATCAAACCACTACATTGTACATCTTCTTGAGCAAAAGCAATGAATGCTCTAGCTTGACAATACAGGAACATTGTAACTTAAACATCTTATTGAGGCAGTGACTTGTACCATGGAATCAAGTGAAATAGAATTATTTAATGTGATTGTCATCAGAACATTTTTACAATATAGAAATTTTCAATTAATTTTTCAAATTATCAATGAATTTACATTCTACTTTGACCAAGGCTGCTGCCATTGACAGTGAGCTCTCCTGCCAGACTGGATTTGGGCTTATAAATGCTTTTCTATTAAAATATTTTGTTGGTTGCATAGCAATTAGGACTTGAGTATGAAAAACTTTCATATTAAAATACTTTGTTTAAGGTAGTGCTTATAAATACTTACCTAGCAAAAATTTTGTTTGCCATGTAGTCATTAGAACTTATAAATGCTTTCTATTAAAAAATTTGTGAGTTGCATGGCAATTAGATTTATAAATGCTTTTGAATTCAAATATTTTTTTGGTTGCATATCTGTTACAGCTTATAATTATCGTCTCCTTAAAATATTAAATAAATCTTGAAGAAGAGAGCTTCTATGGATTCATTGAAATCTGATCAATTGGCCCAGAATTTTATTATATGAAAATATTCATTCAATTAGCGAGAAAAATAATATAATAAACAAGAACATATAAGTATTGTTTGAAATTTAGTGAGCATATAGAGAATAGTCCAACATTTTACAAAGAATTGGAAATTTCATTTGGTAATCAACTCTGAGTACTCTATGTTTATCTGTACCTGTTCTTTCAATTGCATATCATTAGTTATTGATATTTTTATAAGGCATTCCACAAACCTTCAATCACATGTTAAGAGGTTTTCTTAAAATTTAATGAGTATAGTTTGGACCCACAACAAGAAAATAATTGAAGTCTAGCTTACACTAAATATATTAATTTTTTTTAATTCCTTTTATTTCATAAATTTACTCCCCAGTTACAAGGGGGTGGGTGATGCAGGAGTGTGAGGGTGGGGGTAAGTCACCACATGATGTGCAGGATGAAATACAAAATTTAGATATATTTTGTATAAGAGGTAATGAATTCTATGATTATTTATTTAAATTTATTTTCAGGCCAAACACATTTTTTGGAAAATATAATATAGCTAAATGAACATTAAGTTATTTGAGGCTTTTTAAAACTTTGGAGTACCTGAAACCCTATAAATTTGGCCCAATAATGCTACTGCTATGAAGGATTAATCAGAGATGAAAAA